TTGGGCCCCTCACTACAAGAAGGACGTTGAGGTGTTAGAGGGTGTCCAGAGAAGGGCAACGAGGCTGGTGAAGGGTCTGGAGAGCAAGTCTTATGAGGAGCAGCTGAGGGAACTGGGGTTGTTTAGCCTGGAGAAGAGGAGTCTGAGGGGAGACCTCATCGTGCTCTACAACTACCTGAAAGGAGGCTGTAGCAAGGTGGGTGTCGGTCTCTTCTCCCAAGTAACTAGCGAAAGGACGAGAGGAAATGGCCTCAAGTTGCGCCAGGGGAGGTTTAGATTGGATGTGAGGAAAAATGTCTTTACTGAAAGAGTGGTTAAACATTGGAACAAGCTTCCCAGGGAAGTGGTTGAGTCACCATCCCTGGAGGTATTTAAAAGACGTGTAGATGAGGTGCTTAGGGACATGGTTTAGTGGGCATGGTGTTGTTGGGTTGACAGTTGGACTCGATGATCTTAGAGGTCTCTTCCAACCTTAATGATTCTATGATTCTAAGCCAGCCACGGGGAGCGGCCCAGTGTCACTCTCCTTGACTGACTAATGTCTCAAGCACTCCTGAAACTGGGGTGAGAGAATATTCTAGAAACCTTGGACTGGAGCCAATAAATAGGGGCACACACAAACCTCCTCGGGGTGCTCTCCACACCGACACCTCCTGTTGGCAGGTCTGATGGTGGATCCAGGATTGGTGATCTCTCTCTCTCTCTCTCTCTCTTGCTTCCCAGCTCTCTCCCCCGCCCCCTTCTCATTCTTTGCCCTTGATGTTGCTAAGTAACACATGGCTTACCTCAACTTCTCATAAAGCTGCTTAGCTTATGTGACATATTAATACACAGAGGGTTGATGCCTATAGAGTGTTCGTTCCATTAAAGTTGATGTTCCTGTATGGACCTTGAGTGTTACCTCACCTTAATCCACACCGAGGGGATTTGCGGACCTTAGTCACTCTCCCCTTCTCGTAGGTGGGATGTGACGGGGGCCGTTTACCAACAACTGTTCACAAGGGATTATAATTTCTGAAGCCTATTCCCAAATAGTGATCCAAAAGAGCTACTATCTGTTCACCTTCAGTTTAATCTGCAAGACATATTTATAGATTTAGAGAGGCCCTTATAAATTTATTTAATTTTTAAAAAGGGGGAAATAGGTGAAATGTCCATTTGAGTACCCAGCGTGGGTAAAGGGAGAAGTACATAGGATTAATTTAATTTACCTGCTGCTTCAAATAAAGTAAGGGGCTGCTTTTAAGGCAGTTTTCATGTGCTTTTTGAACTGTATAGAAAAAGGGAGTTATAGATAGGTTTTTTCCCTTATTAAATCTACACACATGCAAATACATGTAACTCCTGAAAATTCAGGATCACATTTGGAAGCCTAACACTCACGTTGTTGTTAATTTCAGGACTCTGAATACCTATAACCTAGTAAAGAATAGTCAGAGAAGTACTGCTCTTAATACTATTAAAATTTAGCCATCTCATTTAAGTGCTGTGATGGACCTGGAAGTTCTCAAACCCTTATATGCTCTATAGAGAATACAGGCTCTTAAATTCTCGTAAGTTAGATACAATATCCTGAAATTAGAAAATACAATTTCCATGATCTAAACCATTTCTCCCTACCAAATCGAACTTGAGATTCATCTTTTACCGTTTTTGTAATATTCACAAAGAATTACAATTATGAACAGTGTTCAGCTCAACTAAGTTACATGAAAATCAATATAAGTTAATATTTACACTGTTAGACCAATGACTTATCATGATCATTCAAATGCACTATAATATTTTGTGTCTTTCTGCGGTAAACTCTACATCCAACTGAAGCAAGTTGAAAACTGAAAATAAGGTGAAAGATTTCTTTCCTCAGACTGTCTGGGTGCAATTTTATGAAACCATGAAG